TGTCCAGGCATTTTGTAACCTGGTCATAAAAAGAGACTAGATTAGTCAGGCACGATCTGCCTGCTACAAACCCATGCTGGTTTCCCCTCAGCATAATTTGTCCTGCTGGGCTCTCGCAAATGTGAGCCTTGATAATTTTTTCAAAGATTTTGCCGAGGATGGAGGTGAGACTGACTGGCCTATAGTTGTCCGGGTCCTCCTTCCTCCCCTTCTCACTCGGTTTTTAACTATAGGTAAATAATAAAGCAATTATTCTGTTGCAAAGAATTCAGAATGATAAGAGGTCACACCTCGTAACACTCCTGAAGGGATCTCAAAGAGAATCATAGAACCATAGAGAAATAGGGCTGGAAGGGACCTCCAGAGGTCATCTAGTTCAACCTCCTGCCTGAGGCAGGATCTTCCCTATCCAAACCATCCTGTACACCGCATAATCTAAACCGTACATAAGACTACTATCAACCCTAACAACAGAGACCTAACACCCTAACCTGCCACAGGTAAAGCAGGGGAACCACAGCAGCCAATGCACTGCTTCTATGAAATGTTGTTAATATATGCACAAGAAATCCCAGCTAGAAGGCCACGCTCCCCACTATAGGAAGGTAAAAATCTTCCCAGTCCATACCAGTCTGACCCATGGGGTAAAATTCCTTCCTGACCCCAAATGTGGTGATCAGTCTAACCTCGAGCAGAGGGGCAAGACCATCTAGCCAGGAACCTCCAGCTTTGGTCCCAGCAGAAGCCTTAGCACACCCTAGTCAAGGTCCCTAGCTTTGGCTATTGTCAACACCCAATGCCTCTGAGGAAGGCTTAAAAACACCCTGGCCCATATAGCAGAAGGGGTGGGGGTGCAATTAGCAAAGTCCAGAAGCTTGAGAAACACCCATATAGAAGTTAAGAAATGCTATGCCTAGATCAATCCCGACCAATGGTTGTCCAACCTCTTCTTGAGTATCTCCAGTGACAGAGAGTCCACAGCTTCGCTAGGCAGCCTAGTCCACCGCCTCACCAATCTAACTAAAAAAGTTTTTCCAGATATCTGGCACCTTGATTGAGAATCACTGCTTTAAAGGCTTACCTTACGAAAAAAGACAACAGATGCAATAAAAAAATCCTATTTTGGTGAAAACTGTTCACTGAACATTTCTATTAAGTCTTTTCACCCACTTTTTTGGTGTTTCTGGTACTGAAAATTTAAAGTATGATTTGTTCAGTCAGAATTTTCTTTAAATTCTTATTGAACTTATGTTTATATTAGTAAAACATCCGTATTTCATTCAAAAGTTTAAATTACTTTCCCACTCCCCCAGTCCATATTAGAATGTCTATACAGCTTACTGCATTACCAAGCTAAACCATTGTCGGGGCCTGGTCCTGAACCCTGAACTAGAGGCTGAGGGACTGAGTGCCAGTTCAGCCCCTCTAGGACAAAGGTGGAATGACAGGGAAAGGGGAACCACAGGGAAATGGGCTTCCTACTGCTGGCCCCAACTGGCCTGGGCTCCTGGCTTGCTGACTGGATCCCCCCACCTATATAAGATTTCCTGTTTCCTGTGGAAGCCGCCCTACTGACAAGGCTCTTGCTGCCTTCACACTGCCCCGTTTCCTTGCTCCTGTGTCCTAATTCCAGATCTGACTGCCCATTGTTGGCCCTGCCTGGACTTTGATCTCTGACTCGCAACTCAGACTGTTTGGAGCTCAGCTCTCCCAGGTACCTGACCCAGCTTGCTCCCTAACCTTGCTTTTCTTGTCATTTAGATCGCAGCTCTGCCCTGGCTCTGGACCATGCTGTCACTGCTGCAAGATCCCTGCCTGGCCACGTGCCCTGCCAGCACTGCCAGGGCTGGCCTCCATAAAACCCCCAGCCGGTGCTATTCACAGTACAACTGCAGCAGTCTCTCCGTGGAAACCAGCCCCAGCCACACAGGTAGGGGCTGCTGGGAAAGGGAGTCCACTGCCAGCTGGATCCAACCCGTGGGCTGGATTTTGCCTGCCCCTGCACTAAGCAGACTGCTCACACCCTGGTGTGTGACAAGCAATCAAAAAATCACGAGACTGACTTTAAAATCACGACAGTCAGCAGAGATGCATTTCAAAATTTGTGCAGAATTTGTAAGCACTGATGGCACTAGTTAATGGTTAACCACCCTAGGGAGTCATGAAAGTTTAAAAAAGACTTTTCTCTTTAAAAAAATGTATATAAAAAAGCAAGCCTATTTGGACTTCTTGAAAACAAAATTTCAACTTAAGTCCTAATAAAACTAAACAAATCTCAGAAAATGGACTGAATATACATTAAAAAACTGTTAAAGATGTTTTGAAAATTCATTTTAAAAGAACAGAGACCATCGCCATCCTTTTCATATGCACTAAAAGAGCACAAACTCAGATGCTACTAGAATCTTCTATGAAGCTGGTAGGCCAATGAAAAGGTAACAGCAATTAATATTTAAATGCAGCCAAGCCTTAAACAAGTAAGGTTTTGTTTCTTCAGTGGAACCAAGAAATGTAAGGAACAAAGTTATCTTTGCACTGCTTTCCAGCAACTTCAGTGGCTGTCTCAGTCCTACTGAAGAGGCTAACCTTTTCACTTCTGAAGCAAACAGGATCCAGAAGCAATCTGTCACTATGGCACTGCTTTTGCAACACAACAGCATGAGCAAGATTTCAGCACCAATGATGAGAGAAAGTTTTCCAAAGGTCTGCCACGGAATTAGGTTGAGATTGTTCTTGTACTGATTTTAAAGTAATATTGAAATACTACAATTATTCAAGACAGTACTGGATTTTTCCTGTTAAAAAATAAAAAAGATTTAATCTACATATTTCTGGGAAGGAAACTTATGACTATCCTGGATAACCAGAGTGAAATAATTTGAATTATTCCTTATATTCTTAATATTTCCAAATGGCCTCTAATGGTCACTAAATGGTTCATCTCAAGACAGTTTCTTGAATGGCTAACTTTTAGTAAATGAATTTAGATATATTTTTTGACTTCATAAAACTGAGTTAAGATCAGTTACCTTTTGCCCATTTATAAACTGTTTACATTATCCAGAATAAACTCAACAAAATTTTCCTATACTTATGTGTAATCACCCTGTCCATTTATAAACTGTTTAAAATATACTAAAACAGGACTTGCTACTTATTTTGTAAACCATACATTTTGCTCCAAGCCTATATAGAGAAGAATGCCCCCGGAGGCAATCCTACTCTCAAAAGTTCAAAAAAATCACTGTTAAGCGAGAGAAACATGAAAAAAAAAAATCATAGAAGAAATAACCATTTTTCATCATGTTTGCCTTGTTTACAAACATCTTTCTCCAATAATAAAATAGTTATGCCTGATGACTGGTTATTTTGCTCACTTTTAACCCTAAAACAGCGGTGCTCATCCCTCCAGATTTGCAGGCCAGTGGAGTGGTGTAGCATCAGTGTACAGGGTGAGTCTGTTGGTGCAAACTGGTGAGCTGTTGCTCTCTAGTACATTGGACCATCCATTGTGCTCCCCATGGAAATTTGGCAGCAAGGGAGCAGCAATGAACATTGCCACTGCACCACTCCTTCCAAATTTTCAGACTTGTGTGGCTGTCATGGCTTCAAGGCCTACAACTCCTGCCCTGGAAACGTAGGCCCAAACGAGGCTCAGTTAGTTTCACAATTTGCTGCCCACTACTTTGTCAGGCACATATTTCTCCCCATCACTGGTAGTTTACACAAAGAGCTCTTAGCTCCCATTTTTCTTGCTGCTTCCTTTAAGTCTCCAACCACACTTAATATCATCCTTTTTGTCTGTTCTACAGCCAAATTATTAACACATCCAAAACGGAAGGGCAGGCTATATAAACTCAGCCTATCCTAATAATATTGCAGCAACTGTAATGTTTTTTTTCTACAACTGCATTAAAGAATGCTAGGGACAGTGCATCCTGTGAGGATGTCAAATAGAGCAGATGACTTAGAGCCACAAACACACAGCTGTACCATCCTAATAATTGTACTGGGAATTCCAAACTCATTGCAGCCCAGAGACCACTCTGGATCTGCTTCATACTTTAGGTATACTGCTCTGTAATTCAGTATATTTTAATTATTGAGATTGTATGAAGCATACTGTGCCAGAAGACAGGTAACTGAAGACTACTACATGTAAGCTAAATGGGAATTTTCACCTTTACTTACAAATATAAGATCTGTTAACCAGCAATCTATCTAGGGTTGATGGTGGAGAAGAAATATTGGGCAAAATAAATACAGAGTGAATAATTTTTCCTATGTAGAAAAAGATGCATCTTGCAAGATAACATGGAATCTGAGCAGCTAGAAAAAAAAATCGTTATCTTTTAATATTTTGCACTCCCAAAACACCTTTTGCCAAAGGACCCTAAAGGGATGTATAAACATTTGCACGGTATATAGCACAATGGGATTTTGGTCTCCAACTCAAGCTCTTAAGCGCTATCAGAATACAAATTATTATCGTTTATTATGGACCAAAAATGTTGTTCTCATGTAGGTAATGGTCACTGAAATAAGGAAATAGTGGCCTTATATAAAACCATAGTCTACTCTCTAATTTAAGCTGTTCATATTCTTGACAATAAGCAAGCATCACTTTGCAGCCTTAAAATGAATGCCCTTAGAGATAAGTGATTTGCCAAGGCCAAGTCAGCAGTAGTTAAACAGAAAAAGAATGCAGATGTTCTATCACTCCATAGCCCTTACATAGCTTCCTTCCCTTGTCTCCTCATTCCTCAAATGTAATGTTCTCTTTTCCTCAGCTCCAAGGAGCCTTTTTTATGCCCATCTTTTAGACTGAAAGCAATGTGGAACAAAGACTAGCTTCACATCGTAGCTAGGACTGCACTGAGCATATTGCTGACACTTAAAAACAATAAAAATCGGGCATGCAGCATTACGTTGGTAAGACTTCTGACAGATGAGAACACTTACCCAAACACCCAGCACTGAGTTCCTACCCTTTTGCACTGTGTATCTGTCAGGTAGGCATAGTATTGCCTGCAAATAGAAACAATATAAGAGAATTCTTTAATGAAGCTGAAAACAAGAATGGTTAACATTACTGTTATATGTACACATTATAAAAGCAGAGTACTGATAATTTAACAACTTATGCACCCAGTTAAAACATTCGGACGGCCTACTAAGGTTGCTTCATTTAACTAGGACAAACTTGGTCTATGGCTTGAATTTCTCACTGGTTAAGTTTTGATTTCCTCACTGGTTAACCCAAGTAAAAAATAAAAGCCATAGACCAATCTTAGACCTAACAAATTTTAAAGAATAAATTTTATTTTAATTCTCTATGCTCTAAACTTTGGAGCTATTTTCCCCATTTTAAAACACAGTTGATCCTAAGAGTGCGCACTGGAGCCTGGGAAGTTAAAAGTAGTACGTTGATAGTGCAACAGTCTTAAAAAAATAGTCCAAAGTGGGTTTTTAAAAAAACAAATGAAAACAAGAAAATGAATGCCTGATTAAGGCCGGCTCTTGCTCCGAAACTATTCTGAAAAGATTGCGTTCTGATGTTGGGTTCAGCATGGGTAAGTGTAAACCTTCACGTTCATTCATTCTCAAAATATGTACAGCACCGATAGCAGAAAAATGCAAGCTCTTCCCTAAAATACTCTGACAACCTGTGAGTGGAAGGTATTGTTAGGTGATATAACTAGAGAAAATGCTTTCTGCCAGCATAGATGTAAGAATTCACGATGTAAGCATTCTATTTGTATGGGATAATAGCTCTTTCCTAACTCACCAGGATGCTTTGAGTGCAAACAAATATAAAAGCTTGTGAAACGCTCAGCCCCCACTTCCACCGCCTATATCTATAGGAGATGCTACGGCGACGTAGCATCAGTGGTCACCTTGACACTACACCTACGTCGCCATAGCAACACACTCCTTCGCTATAGTGCGTCGCTATGGCGACACAGCAGCTGAAAACAACCATGCAGCATTGGCACAGTGCAGTACAGTACAGGTTGTTACTGTGCTGTCATTTAGTACTTCCAAAAGTTCCTTTTGGAAGTACTAAATGATGGCGTAGTAACAACAGTGCCATAAGTGTACATGTAGGTGTGTCCAATAAGTTGCAACATACAGTTTTGTAGGGTGACCACAGAGTGATTAGTCCCTTAGTTCTAATCATGGTTCATATATTGTAGCACAACTTGTGAGGACCTGGAATTTTCTCACTTAGGATGCCTTCTCGAGCCGGGACACGGACCTCACAGGAACAGAACTTCCACGCTGCAGTGGGAACTCCCAGTCCGCCCCAGCCCGGCTTTATCATCTCGGCAGGTGAAGTGGATTGGTGCAAATCTGCCCCTGGGGTAATATCCAGGGGCTGGGGGCAGAGCCAGGGGAGGGAGAGGAGCAAGGATGGTGGAAAAGGGCAAGAATGAAGCCTGGGAGCAAGAGACGCTGGGAGAACGCCCCAAGGACAGGGTAAGCACCTGGTGGGACTCCGAAGAGGCAGTGGAACCCTCGCTAAAGGGGTGAAGAGGAGGGTGGAAGGAGGAAGGAAGAGCCCCAAAGCAGGAGAGATCTGGAGTGGAGTCAGAGGAGGCGGATGCTCCTGAACCATTGGCTCCATTTGTTTTTTTTTCTTTTCTTGGCTCCGTTTATTTTGAAGACGCGGCTCAATCGCCGCGGGCCGCCCATTGAGCCTGAGACGGCCGCAGCAAGACAAAATACTCAAAGAGAGAGTAGGTGCCTCCCAGATGGAGGGAAGAAGGAACTGCTTCCCCAGTGGCTCTACTGTGAGACCGGAGGGACTTGAAGCCGAGGCAAGCTGGGGAAAGAGGGATAGGGAAGGCCAACCCTCCCACCACTCACTGCCTAGTTGTGTTAAGGATTTCTTGTGCTTATTAAGCGACCACACGCCGTCAATTAAGCCAGGTGCGGCTGCAATTAGCAGGGGATAATAATACATCTCCCCGGCACGCGGAGAACACAGGGAAAGCCCAGGGCGGAAGGAAAGCCTCAGACACTCGAGGTATGACTGGAACCCAATTGTCTTGAGACCTAGTTCAACGGCTGTCCTACTGATAAAAGAGGAAGGAAGGAATCGCTTCAGGATGATGATTTTACCATCCTTTTCCCGGGTCTTCGGGAACCGGGGCTAAGACTGGTGGTCAGTTGTGGTGGAGGCAGGTAGTCACCACCTCCCTTTCATTAACATCTCAAAAGAAAAAAAAGAGCGAGAAAGAGATCTCTTCAACATCCAAGTCGTGGCAGGCGGGAAGACAGAGAGCATAGGACCCCACCTAGACTGACCAAAGGTTGTAGCCGCCCCAAGAGGGCTGGCGGATGTCAGTAGGACGTAAGGGTACGCACCCACACCCGGTGGCTACCTGACACAACTAATTAAAATAAGGTACTGTTCTACGTCTCCTAATTGTCGTATTTTCCACACACAATCCTAAGTAGATACCTGGAGTCAAGTGTGTGCACTAACCCACATACGTAGATTCCCTAGTCTGTACACTGTCAAATC